AAAAAAAAAAAAAAAAAAAAAAAAATTTATAGGACTTCTAGAAAAAAATGATAGGGAAAAATCTTAGTTACTTTAGGTTTGGCATAGATTTCTCAAATAGGACACAATATGAACTAAAGTTGGCTTCATAAAAATTAAGAACTTTGAAAAATAAGCAAATGGAAATTGGTGCTGTCTCTGCAATGATTTTTCCCTTTTTATCACTGAGAGTCACAGTTCCCGAAGACAGTAGGATAGGCAGAGCCTGATTTCCATTATCAGGGAGGAGCGGGTTGATTGGCAGTCCCCTAAAGAGTACACCACGGGCACAGTGTCCTGTCTAGAGAAATTCAAGTTATCAGAAAAAAAAGTGTTCCGAGGTCTCGGTGAAAATCACCTCATTCCTTCCAAAAAGTGCATCACTCAAGATCCGACATCAAAGTGATGCAGATTAGGATTTTTGGCATTGATGGAATTGAATTGCACAAGTTGTTTGTACCCAGGAGCCCTATGATGAACTCTGAATATTACAAAGCCTTATGCTTTGTTCTTCCTTTAAAAAATTTATTTTCAGTTCATTAGATTTACTCAATAATACTCTAAAAAATGTACAATGTTTCCTTTTTAGCAAAGTATAAAACAAAATCCTCTGGAGTACTTGGACATTTACAATTCAAAATCAAATTAACAGACTTAAATATTCACAAAACTGTATTTTTTAAGGACATAAAGTTACATGCAACTTTGTAGAATTGACAGAATATGTCAAAAATGAGAGAATTTTCTTTCATTCCTAAAAGTAAACTGTCCAGTAGAAGCTGTGAAGATTTTTAGGCAGGGTACCAACGCCTTGTCTGTGTGCACAAGCAACCTCGCACACAACAAGGGCTTGTCGTCCCTCCAAGCTGGAGCTGAGCCTGGGGACACTGCTTACCCCCAGGTAGCGGGGCAGGATTGGGTCTCTAGCACAGTCTGGTTTTCTAGAATATTACAAATGTTTAAAGACACTAGCTTTCCTGCAGCCCCTTGGGACTGTTTAACAGTTCAGCCTCTTCAGACCCCGTGGCTTTCAGTGTCACCTCATTTGTTCTTTGGGGGTCACTTGCACTTTGCAAAGGACAGCCCACCCTGCTCAGGTTCCACACGCCCATCCTGGAGAGGTTTAGCAAGGAGACGTTTTCTCTTAAATAACATTTAAGTGTTTGGTAGGAATGCAGTATCACCAGTTGCCAGGATGCAGACTAGCAAGGCATCTTACAAGACAGAAAACAGGAAGAGGACGAGGGGTACGATGGATGGAGGAGAGTGTGACCTAGCTCTTGCAGGGTGGGACCAACTGCCTCACTGCCTGGGTGGGGAGCCGCCTGGGCCGGTATGAGCTCCCTGGGAACATCACAGCCAGTGACAGGAAAAAGTGCTACACTGTGGCTCATGGCTGTGATCCTCCTGCCTCAGCCTGCCTAGTACCAGGATTACAGTTGTGCACCACCATGCCCGGCAAACTCCAGTAATCTCGTGAAGATGCAGATAATGCTGGTTTAACGCCAATCATATATAAGTTCAAGAAAACATTTTGTCTATTTTAAGTACTGTCACCCAATTTGTCAGTGGTCTTTAGCAATTAGGAGTTTTAGCATTAAACACTTTTCTAGTTTTCAGTATTACCATAAATAAAGATTAGTAGAACATTGAATATTTTCCTTAAAAAATGTTAAGAGGCTGGGGATTTAGCTCAGTGGTTCGGTGGCCTGCCTTGCAAGTGCAAGGACCTGAGTTCAATCCCCGGTACCAAAAAAAAGTTAAGTAATTGTTTAAGCCCAGCATTGTGTTCCACTCCATCTGTACACACCACTGTCCCCATCCCTGGAATTTCTAACAGGGTCAGACGAGGTGGTGTGATACCCAGGAGACTGCCATAGCGCCGAGACTGAGCTGGGCTCCAGGACTCAGTAGAGCCAGTGCCTTGTGTGTCTGACTGGTGACGATGGACAAAGTGCTTCTGCGCTCCCTGGCTGGATCACACTGGGAGGATTCATCAGAGCTGACTGCATGTGCTTGTTCTCCAGTGCAGCGCAGGGCTTGCTCAGGTCACACATCTCTTATTCTTGGGAACAGCCTCGTCAGAGAGGTCTCAAATAAACTGCTGGTTTTCTGAGGGCCTCTGATGACAGAGACAGCTGTGACAATGTCAGAACTTACTACCTTGACTACAAGTGTCGTTTCAAATGGAAATTTCTGTTTGAAATTTTTGTTGTATTTCAGGTTAACCTCTAATATTTACCAAAAGAGTTCTATGGACAACAGCAGACAACTGTTATTCTATATAAACCACTGAAAGAAAAATGTGAAATTTTTAGTGGTATTAACTCTTTTCTCTTGCTACAAGACAGCTTCCACTGTGTTGAGTTAGGATTTATTTAAAATATTTCTTTGTTTAAAAAACCAAAAAGTTTAAAGTTTGGTTTTCTGCTGGATGTGGTGGAGTGTGCCTGTGTTCCCAACTGAGGCAGGAGGATCGCTTCGAGTTTGAGGCCAGCCTGGTATATATAGTGGGTTCCCGGCAAGCCTGAACTACATACACCCTTTCAGAAACAACAAAAAACAAAGATTGGTTTTCAGCACGTGTCCAAGCCGTGATAATGATCTTCATAAATATTAAAATAAAAAACATCAGTGAGCACCATAAATCTTCCTTTAACGTTAAAGGACAAGTTCCATTCTGGCACTCTGTAGGACAGAGTCATGTCAGTTTTCATTATTTCCCATGTTGTAGTGTTTCTGGTTAGGGGAGAGATCAATGTAATGTCCCCCTTACTGCTGTAATAATAAGCATCCCCCTTTAGAACTGTTTGTTATACTGGGTATTGTGAGAATAGAATACAGTGGTCGATTGATTCCACATTGTATAGAAATAGCATTCTACAATAATACAAAATTGTACTAAAAGCCTTTCATAATAAAAAGTAACAATTTTTTTTCTTAATTTTTGAGACAGGGTCTCACTGTAGTTGAGACTGACGTGGAACTCACTGTGTAGTACAGGCTGGTCTCGAACTCACAGATTTTCCTGCCTCAGCCTCCCAAGTGCTGGGATTACAGGCGTGCGCCACCATGCCCAGCATGAAAAGTAACAACTTTTTGCTTTCATTTTCATGAAGTCAGGAGACTGATCTCAGATTTTAAAGCCTCGTATCATAATGCCTCAAATTCTAGGGTATTCTTTTGATTTATAATGACATGAGACCGATTGTCCCATTTTAAGAATGTAATTTTTTTAACAAATACTCAACTGGAAAACCCCTGATAACATCTTATCAATCAAAACTTCAGTATTGAAGATTTTAATATTTTAAATGTTTTTTGAGCAGAAAATTTCCTTTAAAGTTGAAGATTTAAGTCCTTCCTTAAGTTTTAGATCAACGTGCTCTCATTCCTGTGGATTGAAATGTAGAGGTGTAGCATGAGGAGACATTCATTTCCCACTGAAAAATGAGACTTCTCAGAGAAGTTCTAGGCTGTGCCTGCCAATTGTCTCTCTGAGTCTTGCTACTTTCTGTTCAAATTCTCCAGGCAATTTTGATTGCATGAACTATCAGTACACAGCCTAATACAAAAGAAGCCAGCAGGAGAGAGTTTCACATCTGCTCCTAGGTTGTGGGACTAGGTTACTGTTGAAACATCCATCTTGAGTGTGACTGTCAGCATCAGCCCTGGGCTGGGGGCCTGGAGGAGCCCAGTTGAGATACAGCTTTCTAACTTCCTTAAGGATGAGGAGCACCAGCCACAGAAACCCACAAGGCTGAGTTGTTCTTGTCCTGTAGGAGTTGGTTTGTGGTAGAGAGAGCAGGTTCAAAGCCACCACTTGTAAGAGGGATGGGCTCACCAGTTTCTAGGTGACTGGGTTCCCAGGGACTCATACCCTTAGACATGAAGTTGTTGAGAACGGAAAAAATTAAACACTTGGAACTGCTACAAGTGTTTGAAGGCCAGAGGACATATTGAAATCTCTGCTGTGGACTAAATCAAGTAACTACATTATTTGAGTAACTGTGTTATTCACAACTCTTGTGCTAATGAGTCTCATAGGAGTCTGTCTCCCAGACTGCAGAGAGCTATATCAGGTTACATTCTTCTGCAGGAAAAGCCTTAAAAATCCAGGGATTAGTGCCGGGACACCTTAGAAGGAAACAAAGTGAAACAAAATAAAATTGACATTTTCCCTAACCCAGGGCTGTCAGAGGCCAATGGGGAGGGATCCCCGTGGAGAACATTGACTTTAGTCTTGATCAGACTGTGTGTAGCTGTCCCGGAGTTGTGTGTGAACCTAGAAGGACCAGCAATGCTTCAGGAGACAGGGAATCTCTGCACTG